CATTTCTAATATTCTGTGTAGCCCATGAGTTGGCTTACCAGAGAGGATCTTAACCTGCGTCTGTCTGGAGTGGGAGCATCATGGCGACTCACTCACTCAGCTTCTTTTTCCCAGCATTCTCCTCTGTCTACTCCGCCTACCTAATTTTCTGTCCTATGAGGGCCGAGGCAGTTTCTTTATTATTAACCAATGATTTCAACAGATAAGATACAAGACCCACCTCCATCAAAGGGGCAAGCATTTTACTCCTGCAGAGCACATCTGAAGCCCAATCAGGAAGCATTTGGCCACTCCCATAACACTTATACCCCTCTTGTGCCCATGAACATATCTAGCTATGCCAGTCGTTATTGTAGCTGGCAGTGTTCACAGTTGGTTAAGACTGCTGTTGACTTGTCTCCACTAGTAGCCTGAGTTGCAGTTACTGATAATATAAAATGGAGCCAGTAAGGAGGAAGCTTTTTAATTAGTACTGGCTTGATTTCTCTAAGTCTTGTGATCAAAGCATGTGGCGTCTTCAACAATGTGGTCTTGTCATCAAGTTGTTGTAGATAACCACATTTAATGGCAAGTAGGTTATATTGTCCAGTGGGTCTCTATAACTTTCTCTGACCTATAACTCTTGGAGATGTATCCTGTACCTGGACTGGCTTTTTATTTGTCAATCTCGGTTTTCTGGGAATAAGTGTTATTTTTGTAGAAAAACTTCATTTACACACACACACACACACCCGTTTTCAAATGTCCTCAGTGTTAGTTGTTCTTTAATTCATCTCTCCTCTATGCCATACTACCCTCTCATTCCCCACCCTAGTAAACCATTAATTGTGCAGAAAAATTATGATAGAGATGACTGAAAATTAATTTTTCTTCCCTTTGTTCAGAAGAGACTACAAATAATTTTGTAAGATTGTAAGTTTATATTGGTTCCAGGCATGAAGAATATTTAAGGCACCAATTAGCATTTTATTCCTATTCCCGTGACTGTGCATGGACTGTGAGTTTAAGATCTGGTGTTATGAACATAGTTCATGAGTAATAGTGACAATGTGTTTTAAATGTTTTAACCCAGTTCAACATTGAATAGCACCAAAAGCAAGCGTGTCTCTCCAGTTTACTAATAATGACTCAGTAGTATCATAAAAAGCACTCCAAATCACTACATATTTATTGTGTCTAAGGTCACTTGGACTTCTTTATGTTTCTAGAACATTCACAGCTTTCAGTAATTATAAATGCGGCCACCAGATGGCAGTAGAAGGCAGCTGATGAAAAGACAAGCGCATTACATGGCATTCTGAAGCAACAGGAGAGAACTCAAGCATTTGATTTCTTATTGGCTGTGAATATAACACAAGAAGATACTAAAACTGTTAGAGAAAAGGGGACAACCTGGAAATTAAATTAGCCGGCTTGGCAAAAGATTGCAAGTCTGCACTGCTCCCAGGCAGGAAGAACAATGAAGACATCCATTCACACTTTATTCCTATGCTTGGGTCTGTGGATGGACTGTGAGTAGATTTGGGGTCAATGGAAAGCATTTGGTTTATTATTATTAGATATCAAGGGAAATCCCTTTTATAAGGCTTCCCCTAGTTATTGTGAATAAAGGCAATTAAGCAGAATACTGACTAACTCCTCCTTTCTGTTTTTCTCTCTGTGCAGGGGAGAGCTGTGGAGAGCAGGTGGAGCAGCAGCCTTCCACCCTGAATATTGGAGAGGGAGACAGCGCCATCATCAACTGCAGTTACACAAGCAGTGGTTCCTCATACTTCCCGTGGTACAAGCAAGAAGCTGGAAGGAGTCCCCACCTTGTGATAGATATTCTTGAAAATGTAGACAGAAAGCAAAAGCAAAGACTTACCGTTTTATTGGACAAGAAAGCCAAACAATTCTCCCTGCACATCACTGTCACACAGCCTGGAGACTCAGCCACCTACTTCTGTGCAGCAGGCACACAGTGGTTCCCAGGCACCTGTAGCCTGTTCTCAAACTTGCTCTGGGGCTTGAGCCCTTTCCACAACCTGGGTCTTGTAGTAAAGCATTTGTTACATTGCTTGTTTGTAATGGAGGCTAACATGCAGATATTCATGGCATAGAATAGAAAGCTAGGATCTAAGTGGATAGGAAGAGAGATAGATACAGAGACATAGAGAGACACAGCGACTTTGTTGTTTGATTTTTGCTTATGTGTTTATTAAATATCTTCATTTAAAATGCATAACAAAATTTTTAGGACACACCCACTGGTCTACATATCTGCTTTTGCAATGGTACCATATTGCCTGTCTATCACTATGAATGAAATTGGACCCCATAAATATCACTTTCACAAAAAATAACTCAAAATGGATCAAGAAACCTGAGTGTTAAACCTGAAATGCTGCAACTGCTAGGACTATGAAATCGGACGTGGTGAGCTCCTGTCACCAGTCTTTCTCTTTCTGATGAAGATAGCTTTAGCTATCCTACACTTTTTGTGGTTTCATATGAATTTTAGAGCTTTTTTTTATATTTCTGTGTTGAATCTTATAGGGATTTTGATTGAGACTTCAATGACTATTTAAATTGCTTTTGGTAGAACATCATTTTCACATTACTATTTCTTCCAATCCCTGAGAAAATATGTATTTTTATATTCTAGTGTCTTTCTCAATCTTTATATAGTTTTCTTTATAGAGTATGAATCTTTAACCTTCATGGTTAGATTTATTCTTAGACCTATTTGGTAGCTGCTGTGAATGGAAGTGTCTCCATGATCTCTGTCTCAGCACACATGCTGTTGGTGTTTATAAAGACTACTGATTTTGTCAGCTGATTTGGTATATTGCGACTTTACTGAAATTATTACTTATCTCTAGAATATTTGCAATCTCCCTATGTACAGTATGTCATCTTCTGCAAGCAGGACACTGTAATGTCTTCTTTTTCTAATTGTAGCCCTTTAATTGCCTTCTCTTGTCTTCAGGTTCTACATTGGGAAGGAGTGGGAATGTTGGGGAATCTGTTCTAATGTTTTACTTCAATGAAATTGACTTGAGTTTTTTTTTTTCCTGTTTAGAATGGTGTTAGCTGTGGATCTTCACATATGGCATTGAAAGTGTTAAGGTTCATTACCTCTAGTCCTACTCACACTAGGATTTCATCATGAAAACAAGCTGGATTTTTCTAAGGGCCTTTCTGCATGAACTGAGATCAAGTGACTTTTGTCTTTAAATCTGTATTTATGCTTTATTACATTCATTAATTTATGTATATTGAACTATCTCCGCATTTCTGTGATAGAGCCATATGACCATTATATGTATGATTATTTTTATATAAGCCTACATGAGGTTTAAAAGTATTTTATTAAATATTTTTAATCTATGTTTATCAGGGATACTGGTCATTATTATTCTTTTGTTGTGTCTTTATCTAGTCTTGACAGTAGAATGATTGTGACTTCATAGAAGTTTGGATGTCTCCATCCTACTTATTTTTTTTAATAATTTGAGCAGTGTTGGCTATTAATCTTTTTTCAAACTCTGCTAGAATTGACTTCTCAATGTATCATTTTAGTTAGAAAGAATTTTAATCCTGCTTTGATCCTCTTATTCATTATAGGTGTGTTTACATTTTTGGTCTCTTTTTGGGTTAAATTTTGTGGTTTGGATGATCCTAGACATGTATCCATTACTGTTATATTTTCTAACTAAATGGTGACTGCTGAGTGTCCCCAGCATCTCCTTCTTTCTCTCCCACATTTTCTTTTCTTTCTTCATACACTTGAGCCTAGGTTGCTCCTCCCACTTATTCTCCCTGCTCACCAGTCTCACCCATTCCTCCTCTGCCCAGCTGTTAGCTATTCAGCATTCTATTAGATCAATCATTAGGTAGGCAAGGTGAAACAGTAACACCTATTTACATAATTGCACAAACAAATGTAGCAACCTCTAAATACTTAAACTAACAGTCCACAACAGTTTCTATTGTATTTTTTGCAGGGTACTTTTTAGTTACTTGGGTTTTTTTTGGTTTTATTTTTTAGGAGAGAGAAAAAAAAACACAGATTTGGGTGGGATAATTGATGGGGAAGATCTGAGAGGAACTGGGGGAAGGGAAAACATCAAATATTAAATATTAAAATAAAAATTAAATAAATATTAACATTATGTAAAATACTAAATAAAATTGGGAGCATAGGGGTGGGGAGTAGTAAGGGTGGAAGGAGAAGACAAGGGGAGACAGGGACGGGGAAGAAGAACTTGAGGGAACAGGATAGTTGAGATGGAGGAAGGACAGAGATGAGAGCAAGAAAAGAGATATTTTGATTATAGGAGCCATTATGAGGCTAGCAGGAACCCTGGCACTAGAGACGTACCCAGGAATTCACGAAGATGATCCCAGCTAAAACCCTAAACAATAGAGGAGAGGATACCCAAACTGGCCTTGTCCTGTAATCAGACTGATGACTATCTTAAATATCACAATAGAACCTTCATCCAGAAACTGATGGAAACAGAGTTGGAGACCAGCAGCAGAGCACTGGGCTGAGCTCCCAAAGTCCAGTTGAAGATTGGAAAGAGTGAGAATATGAGCAAAGAAGTCAAGACCACGAAGTGAACACCCATTTAAAGAGTTTACCTGATTTAATGGGAGCTCAGCAACTCTAGCTGGAAAGGGAAGAAAACAGCATAGGTCCAAACTAGTCCCTCTGAATGTGGATGACAGTTGTTTAGCAGACTGCGGGCCACTGGCAGAATTTATCCTACTGCTTGTATGGCATTTTTAAACCTATTCTCCTTGGATGGGTACCTTGCTCAGCCTAGATATAGTAGGGTGGGCCTTGGACCTTCCCCAAAGCAATGTGCCTTACCATCTCTGAGGAGTTAATGGGGGGTGGGATGGGGATTTAAGTGGAAGGAAGTGTAGGAGGGAAGGGAGTGGAAACTGGGATTGGTATTAAAATGAAAAAAGGATTGTTTTATTTTAAAATAATAAATTAATTGATTAAAAATTGCTTTGTAATGCTCAAATTTCCAAGATTAATGAAATTCTCCCCATCATGAATAGGCATTATAACAAATACCACATTGATCCTTTAGAATTAATAAGTCTAGCTAATAAGATTAAGCAAGTCAGGTCAGGTTTCCAAAAGAAAATGCAGACTTGAAATTACAAGAATATAAAAAATTAAAAAGTAAACATGTCAGGGATTATATAGGAAGGTCAACCTCTTCTATCATTGTTAATGATTTGGGATACTTAGCAAGGCATGATGTCTGAGTACCAGAACTAGAAAGGCAAAGCAGGACTACCACAGGTCTGAGATTACCCTGAGTCACGTAGAATGAGTTCCAAGCCAGCCTTGGCTATAATAACAGATCTTATCTTAAAAAATTCCATGCAATCAAACAGTCTGAACACTAACAATAAACAAAAACCAACCAAATGAACAACAAACTTAGAAACAAAAAAAGAGAAAAGAAAAAAATTAAGACTTTTCAAAATCTGGTAGGGCTGAAGACCTGTGGAAGACACTTGCAAAGGGATGCTCTTTGTATCCTGACATAAATGTGGGGCTTCTCCTTTTCTCCTCCATATAACAGAGCTGCTTATGGTTTCCAGAGCACACAGGACACTTGGGCTACTGCAGTTCTCTGTCATCACACCACATGAAGTAAAGCTCCCTGAAGTCTTTCTGGGGTGTCCTTGTAAGGTGGTGCAGGAATTGTGGAACCAGCAAGTCTGAGCAGTGATGAGTCACACGCTACATACGTAACTCACAAGCTAAGTTTAAAACCTCCCCCTTTTCAAGGAATGGGGTTTACTTTGTTTCACAGTTTGACAGTAAAATATGTTATGATGGGGAAGGCATAGAGGGAGAGTATGAGGCAGCTAGCAACAGTAAATCTGCAGTTGGGATGTAGAGAGAGATGAAGTATGATATTCATGTAGCTTTCTCCTTTTTTATTCAGCCAGTGACCCCAGAGCACAGGCTGCTCTAACACACATTTTGAGTGACTCTTCCTTCTCAGTTACAACTCCCTGCAGACACTCTCATTAGTTCTAGAGTATGTTTTCTTTTCTATTTCATAAAATATTTCTATTGTAATTCTTTATACATGTCTTGGATATCACTGTTTACCAAAATTTGAGAGCCTTTCTTTGCTGGAAAAGACAGTTGGACATACTGCTTTTTGAATCTGAGTACATTGGGACCAGGTTTCTTTGTGTTTTGTTTGTTTGTTTGTTTGTTTTGGCAATTTTTGTAGTGAACAATAAAATTCACATGTATTAGCACAACTAGTAATAATCCTGTATATACATATGTTCACCCAATGCAGTAGGCAGGAAGAAGAGAGGCCAATTCTTCTGTTCTTGTGCTCTCCCATCTAACTTACCTAAACTAAGACAGCTCTACAGTGTTGCCCAATAGAGGTGCCGGGTTCACAATCAAGTTGCTACAGTTGGTGAGAGGCTGTCACAGATTTTGTGTTCTTATGCCCCAGAGGCCAATTCTCCCATTAGTTAAGGTGGCTTATGCTCAGGTTGGTTAGGCTCCTTTCTCCCACCCTTGCCAACACAAGGTAGAGGAAACGGGATAGACTGGTGTTTCCCGCTCTCACACCCTCAGAGACAACTCACCTGCACTATTGTTAACAGGGTCAGCTTTACTGTGCAGCTCAGCCCAGGTTCAGGACCCACTCTGCTGAGTGCTGCAGAATGTGAAATGGAGAGATAACTCTGTGTTTACCCATCCTGTTTCAGTGATAGCAGGAGCCAATATGTCAACATAGACAGAGGCTGTGGTAGGGGCAATGGATCCCAACATGGCCTTTGACATCAGCTATGCCTGGAGGAAACCAGGGACCCTGGTGGCGGCACTGGCCACTCAGATCTGTATGGGCCCAGCAGAAGCACAGCCCTTGGAAACTAACAAGGTTCTAAGTGGTGGCCCTGACACCTACCTACTTTTATGTAGCCCCTGGCAGCACCACAGGCCATTGAAATGAACACAGATTCTGGCTGTGTTTGCAACATGGCCCCAGACATGATCTATGGCCCTGTCTGGCAGAGCAGGTCACTGAGTTCAGCATGAAGCTAACAGCACCGT